TGCCAACCTGCAAGAGGACCAAGATCCGACAGGTGGCTTCCGTGGTGATCGAGCCTTCGCCTCGGCAGCAGACGAAGGTGAGTGGGACGATCAGAATGTGGCCAACGCATCCGAAGAAGCTGGACCCCTTCCATACTGCTCCGTCGACGTACCCATGGACGACGATAACCCTCGCGAAAGCGTCAACGCCGAAACCTTCTACTACTTCGCCGACAACGGTTACGTAACACCTGCAACAGTCAACACCAACGAAGCCGAACGCGTTGGACCAAATTTCTTACCCGATCCAGAAGCGGGAGATGAAGCAGCTTATCCCGAGGATGCAACTCTTCCCCGCTACTCACAGACCGGACTGCAGATTCTCGGACTCGTCACCGCAGTCCACGGCACCGCCACTCCTAAAGAGCCTGCGTCAGTTCAGCAGGCTCTAGGGGAGGAACATAAAGAAAAATGGCGCGAAGCCATGGACAAGGAGCTGAAGGCACTGGAGGAACGCAACACGTGGAAAGTGGTTCCTATAGGCGTGGCACGGAACAAGACAGTACTCACCGGGAAGTGGGTCTTCCGTGTGAAGACGAAAGCCGACGGCACAAGTGACAAATTCAAGGCACGATGGGTTGTGCGCGGCTTTGACCAAGAACACGGACGGGATTTTACCGAAACTTTCGCCCCGGTTAGTCGCCACACCTCACTACGCATTCTCCTCGCAATCGCCGCCATGAAGAAGAAGCTGCGGCAAATTGACGTCGCGAACGCGTTCCTCTACGCACCTGTCGACGCAGAGATATTCGTGGAACTACCGCACGGTACTAACGGAGAGCCCAACCAGGTTTGCCAGCTGCTGAAATCGCTCTATGGAATCAAGCAAGCCCCGCGGCTATGGCAACAGCACCTACACGCTCGCCTCATTCGCATCGGGTTCCGCCAACTACCTCACGATCAAGGCATGTACCGGCTTACAAAAAATGACGACTATATTCTGCTGATCGTCTACGTAGACGACCTACTCTACATCGGCTCCACTGACAACGTCACCACCTGGTTTGAAGGGGAGTTACAGAGGGACCTCACACTCACGGTTTCCTCTACCGTCACACAGTACCTCGGCTTGAACATTCGAGAGGAAGAAGACGCGATTCACCTCAATGCCGCTAAGTACACCGACACCATCGCCAAACGCTTCGCGCTCACGCCTACCACCATTTCTACGCCCTACCGCTACGCGACAGGAAACCACGAGGAAGAATCTACTCTACTCAAATCCGCCGGGATACGCGAATACCAGAGAAAGCTAGGATGCCTTCTCTTCGCAGCTGTTACCTGCCGCCCCGACCTCTCATACTCCGCAAGCCAGCTCGCCACTCATCTCAAGAGGCCTGAAGCAAAACACATGGCCGAACTCGACCGTGCTCTACACTATCTCGTCAGCACGCCAACGATCGGCATAACATATTAAAGGAACGCGACCACGCCGCCTAAGCTAATCGGTTATGTCGACGCAGATCTCGCAGGCGACTCCGACAACAGACGATCACGCACCGGCTACATCTATCGCTTCAAGCCTATCGGGCCTATCTCCTGGAAATCAAGCAAGCAGGAACTAATTGCTCTCTCGTCAGCTGAAGCAGAATATATTGCACTCTGCTAAGCCACCAAGGAAGGAATCTATCTTCGCGAGCTGTTGGAAGAAGCGAAGTTAGCCGAGTTACCCAACTTTACCCTGTTCTGCGACAACCAGTCGGCAATTCGCATCGCCAACAAAAACGGTTTTGCGAACAGGACGAAAGACATCGCTCTGCGATACTTCCTCGTGAAGGACGAGATCGAGAAGGGAAGGCTCAAGCTGTCATACTGCCCCACGTCTGAGATGGCAGCTGACTACTTGACCAAGAAGCTCGGAAAGCAGAAGTTCGAATACTGCATGCTGCTGATTGGACAAAGCCACGTCAGCGACACTCCAGAAGCGAAGGGGAGTGTTGGAAACAATCAGTGTTAAGCGCTCCTATCGTGTTGAAACACTAAGGCACAAGCGAAGTACTGCATACCGAGGCACCAGCGAGTCAACTCTCGGAGGTTGATGTAACCGCTGGAGGTTACGCGAAAGTCAAAGGTCAGCGACCTTTGACCTGACAAATACAGCGCGACAGCAAGGACACACAACTGACTCGTTACAGAGCAGTTGCCCGAGTCGTCACTGTATCGAACCGCAACAGCAACAGTAAAACAGTTATTAACTGTATCCCTTCGTATTCCTTGTACTCTTATAAAATCTTGTACTTGCTTGTTTTAATTCAACTTACTTTGCCCTCACATACTAGCGCAAGGTGGTTCAGAATCTCTTCATTAAACGCTTCCGCTACTACACTCTACCCAGACTTTAACTCTACCAAAGATCCTAAGGGGCATTTCAGCCCAACATTTTTCACATACGTTCGACTTCACAGAAAAAACTACAAAATTCGTTGCAAGCATGCACAAATACGTTGCAAGTTTGCGACGCCTGACGAGCTGTGTTTCTTTCTTCGGTTTTGGCGGGAACCAATCAGTTTTGTTTGATCTGTTCGAACGCTCTCAATCAAACAGTGCAAACTTGTCGGTTTGGTTTGAAAATTGTTTCACTCGACAAGCTCTCTTTCAAGCTGGAGACGGGTTTACTATTTTGCATTTCGGTTTTAAGCTGCCCTGCTGCATATGCATATAGTACATGCCTATGTTTAATACAAATCCAATGCATTGGACTTTTATTATGATGAGTATAGAGCATTCTGAATTTGACAAAGTGGAGCATGTTCTAGCTTGCACACAGCATCAGGCCAGCGAGACTACGGCACTTGAAGCTAACCTGCATGCAAAGCCTACGCAGTTTCACACAACGTTGCAATCTAAGGTTGGCACAACTTTGCAACTACTAATAAAGCTGTGCACCGGCAAAGCCTTGCCCAATGCCCAGCCGCAAGCATGCACACACCGCCATTCAATCCACATTGAATGTCTATGACTTCCTCAGTATCACTTGATCCGCCTTTTCCCACCATCACTCTGTCACTATACCCTCTCCTTTGTGAATACATTTGTACACGCTGCACCCAAACAGCCATCAATTCTCATGCAGCTCCCCTCATGCAGCCATGCGAGACACTACTCACCCTTAATCTCAACCCAAGCCCACTGCTGCTGCTGCTGCTGTCACATCTGCTGCCACTGCTGCAGCCACTGCTGCCACCACTGCTGCCGCCACTGCTGCTGCCACTGCTGCCACCACTGCTGCTGCCACTGCTTCTGCAGCCCCTGCTATAGCCACTGCTGATCGCCTCCATTACTGCTCGTCCATTATGCTCGCTTCCCTCACTGCTCTCTTGCACGTCCTTGTCCCCAGCTTCCTTGCAGTCATAGTCAACTCTTCCCTCAACCTCACCTCTCTTTCCATCATCACTCCCTGCCACCCTACCCGCCTATCCGCCTGCGAACATCATCGTACATAAGGTAACCCCCTTCTGCCGGAAAGAGAAACGTCAGTTTGGTCAGCGCAGTCAGCTGCTGCAGTCCATCATCCGTGACTACCGTCCCACCCAGAAGAAGTTTCTCAAGTCCTGTCAGCCTCCCCACATGCACCATGCCGGCATTTGTCACCTTGGTCTTCCAGAGATGGAGCTCCGCGAGATTGGTCAAGGACCCAATCCCTTCCAAGGCACTGTCTGAGACATCTGTAAATTGCAGGTCTAGCGTCTCCAGCTGTGGCAGCCTGTACAGATGCTTCATGCCCTCTGCACTGAAGCCTGAGGTAGATCGCAAGTCGATGCTCTTCAGGTGGGTCATTGTGGACACATGGGCGAGCAAGGCGTCTGAGAGGCCGCCAAGACTCGCCAGACCCAGATGGGTTCCTAGTGATGCTGATTTGATTCGCTGGAGGTAATGGATACAAAAGGGAATGAATGTCAAGGAGTGATCATCGAGACAACAGCAAACCATGCTTGCTCTGAAAAACAGTTCATTCAGCACTCACCTCCCATGCAGTCTTCCGATCAACTTCATTCCGGATAATTCCCATCTCAACATTCACCCAACTCCTGCAGGCTGCCAATTCCTCCATGGCACGTGGCCAATTCAACTCCTGCACCTCCCTCCTCCTCTCCTCCCTCTCCCTTGTCAACTCCGCTCTCATGTTATCCTCTTTCTTTCTAACCTCCTCAATTAGATCTTTCAAACGTGATTCCCTTCTTATCTCAGCCATACAGAGTTGCTCTATCGTAGAATCCTTGTGCCCAGCCAATGCGTCCGTCACTGCTGCCAATTCTACGGCCATCTCCACCACTAGTCTCCTCTCAGCCTTCTCCAACTCCCTCTTCCTCTCCTCCACCTGTCCTCTCAGCTCTACAAAGTTCTCTGTGTGTCTTTTCTCAGCCTCTTCAAACTGACTTTTCACAAAGTCCTTTTGCCTCCTCAAGTCTCTTCTCAATGCTGCCAATTCTTCCCTGATCTCACTCAACTCCTTTCTAGCCTCCACTTGCTCTGCCATAGCATCCTTGTGTTCAGCCAGCTCCCTCTTCATAGCTGCCAGCTCCCCCTGCACTGCACCCAACTCTCCTTTTACTGCTGCCACATCCTCCCCGCTCTTCTCCATCTGCCCTCTCACCTCACCCATCTCCAACACTCGTTTCCTCTCAGCCTCCTCCAACTCCTTCCTTGTCTCTTCCACCTTCACGCCAAGCGCCCTCATTCTCATCTCCATCGCCTCTTTCCACTCGTGTGTTCCGCCCATGCTTGCCATGATATATCCAACAGCTCCACTTACTCTCTCCATTTGAAAATTGGCGTGCTTCCTACACATGGCAGCGCACGGGAGCACGGGCAGACGATGGCAACTCATGGCGGCACATAAGAACACAACGCGGCACACATGGATTGAAAAGATCGGAGTTTTTGCGGAGAGAAGATGCGACTGGAGCATTAAGAGGATTCAGGAAGTCAAGTGTAGTGAACTGAGCAAAGAGCGCTCAGCTTTAGGCAGCAGGAGAGCTGTGAGGGCAGCAGGAGAGCTGTGAGGGCAGCAAGAGAGCTGTGAGGGCAGCAGGAGAGCTGTGAGGGCAGCAGGAGAGCTGTGAGGGCAGCAGAAGAGCTGTGAGGGCAGCAAGAGAGCTGTGAGGGCAGCAAAAGAGCTGTGAGGGCAGCAGGAGAGCTGTGAGGGCAGCAGGCGAGCTGTGAGGGCAGCAAGAGAGCTGTGAGGGCAACAGGAGAGCTGTGAGGGCAGCAGGAGAGCTGTAAGGGCAGCAAGAGAGCTGTGAGGGCAGCAGGAGAGCTGTGAGGGCAGAAGGAGAGCTGTGAGGGCAGCAAGAGAGCTGTGAGGGCAGCAAGAGAGCTGTGAGGGCAGCAAGAGAGTTGTGAGGGCAGCAGGAGAGCTGTGAGGGCAGCTTCTGATGAGAATATCCAATGATGTGAATGCATACCCCATCTGAGCATTGCAAGAATGCGGACATGTGAGGTTTAGGGAATATGCCGGCATACGACAGGAAGCGTCCCTGCCTGCCAGTTGGTGTGATGCTGATGGCAGCGGCGAGAAGGAGGGTGAGCAGCAGCCCTGGCAGAAGCATGGGCACTGCAGTCATCCGAGCCATGGCTGATGGGGCGAGCCCAATGCTAGGCGTGCGCCTGCACAGTGAGGTGTAGCAGGAGGAGAGGATGAATTCAGGGAGCAGGAATAGAGGAGGGAGGGGGGTTGTGGCAGGAAAGACAGGTTCTGTACTAAGTGCACAGGACGAGACAAGTGGACAACATAGGCATAAGGCACAGACGGGTAGAGATAAGACTAGCGTGTGGAATCACACACACGAAAGAACAAGCTGATAGTCAGACTGTAAGGCAGGTGAGGTAGGGGACAAGCGGCAGCAGGGGGGGATGTGGGGAAGGGGGGATGACAGTCGTGCACAGTGTGCACAGGAGCTAAGGAGGAGAGGAATGGAGACAAAACGAGAATAAGAATGGTGGCGTAGAATCACGTGAATGAATGCCAAAGGCCAGTGCCTCAACTCATTCGCTGCATTCTCCACAACGCACCTGCTCTCCAACAACAACCCTCGTTCACTCTCCTGTGCCGCCTTCTCCGCCACTGCTGCTGCCACCTCCCCCATCACTGCTGCCACCTCCCCCTTCACTGCTGCCACCTCCCCCTTCACTGCTGCCACCTCCCCCTTCACTGCTGCCAGCTCCTCCCTCACTACTGCCAGTTCCCCTCTCACTGTTGCAAACAGCCCTCTGACTGCCTCGCTAAGCTCATTCTCCTCCCTTTCTACAGCCATGTCCCAATCCACTCTCAACCAGCGTTCAGGTAGTTTTCAGCAATGCTTGAGTTCAGCACAGAGAAGATTCCCTCTAAAACGTGGACAGGGAGTGAGAAAAGCTGGACTAGTTAAAGATGGAGTGAAGTGAAGAGAGGTCAGTAGAGGCAGACGCAAATGGAGAGAGATGTTGAAAGCAAGAGGGAAAGGTGAGGCACAGTAGCTCCTAAGCCACGTGAATGAGGATATGAGATTGCTGTTCTAAAAGGCATGGGAGCACATATCCCCATGCTCATTTACATAGCTGCTCTGGCATGTCGTATCCACACAAGCCTTCTGCGCAGAAGGAATTTCAAAACAGCTCTCTTTCAAAACCAGACTCGCAGACTAACAGGCTAGATCAATTGGGGGCTAGGTCAGTTGGGGCTAGGTCAGTTGGGGCTAGGTCAGTTGGGGGCTAGGTCAGTTGGGGCTAGGTCAGTCGGGGGCTAGGTCAGTTGGGGGCTAGGTCAGTCGGGGTTGGGGGCTTTAGTTGGGGTCTAGGCTAGTTAAGGGCAAAAACATTCAGGGGCTAAGAAACTCAGAGGCTGAGACACTCAGAGGCAAGGTCACTCACAGGCTAGGTCACTCACAGGCTAGGTCACTCACAGGCTAGATCACTCACAGGCTAGGTCACTAACAGGCTAGATCACTCACAGGCTAGGTCACTCATAGGCTAGGTCACTCACAGGCTAGGTCACTCACAGGCTCCGTCACTCACAGGCTAGGTCACTCACAGGCTAGGTCACTCACAGGCTAGGTCATTCACAGGCAAGGTCATTCACAGGCTAGGTCATTTATAGGCTAGGTCACTCACAGGCTAGGTCACTCACAGGCTAGGTCACTCACAGGATAGGTCACTCACAGGCTAGGTCACTCACAGGATAGGTCATTCACAGGCTAGGTCACTCATAGGCTAGGTCATTCACAGGCAAGGTCATTCACAGGCTAGGTCACTCACAGGCTAGGTCATTCACAGGCAAGGTGATTCACAGGCTAGGTCATTTACAGGCTAGGTCACTCATAGGCTAGGTCACTAACAGGCTAGGTCACTCACAGGCTAGGTTACTCACAAGCTAGGTCACTCACAGGCAAGGTCACTCATAGGCAAGATCACTCACAGGCTAGGTCACTCACAGGCTAGGTCACTCACAGGCTAGGTCACTCACAGGCTAGGTCACTCACAGGCTAGGTCATTCACAGGCTAGGTCACTCACAGGCGAGGTCATTCACAAGCTAGGTCACTCACAGGCAAGGTCACTCACAGGCTAGGTCACTCACAGGCTAGGTCACTCCAGGCTAGGTCATTCACAGGCTAGGTCACTCATAGGCTAGGTCATTCACAGGCAAGGTCATTCACAGGCAAGGTCATTTACAGCCTAGGTCACTCACAGGCTAGGTCACTCAAAGGCTAGGTCACTCACAGGCTAGGTCACTCACAAGCTAGGTCACTCACAGGCTAGGTCACTCACAGGCTAGGTCACTCACAGGCTAGGTCATTCACAGAGTAGGTCACTCACAGGCTAGGTCACTCACAGGCTAGGTCACTCACAGGCTAGGTCACTCACAGGCTAGGTCACTTACAAGCTAGGTCACTCACAGGCAAGGTCACTCACAGGCAAGGTCACTCACATGCTAGGTCACTCACAGGCTCGTTCACTCACAGGCAGGGTCACTCACAGGCTAGGTCATTCACAGGCTAGGTCACTCACAGGCTAGGTCATTCACAGGCAAGGTGATTCACAGGCTAGGTCATTTACAGGCTAGGTCACTCATAGGCTAGGTCACTAACAGGCTAGGTCACTCACAGGCTAGGTTACTCACAAGCTAGGTCACTCACAGGCAAGGTCACTCATAGGCAAGATCACTCACAGGCTAGGTCACTCACAGGCTAGGTCACTCACAGGCTAGGTCACTCACAGGCTAGGTCACTCACAAGCTAGGTCATTCACAGGCTAGGTCACTCACAGGCGAGGTCATTCACAGGCTAGGTCACTCACAGGCAAGGTCACTCACAGGCTAGGTCACTCACAGGCTAGGTCACTCCAGGCTAGGTCATTCACAGGCTAGGTCACTCATAGGCTAGGTCATTCACAGGCAAGGTCATTCACTGGCTAGGTCATTTACAGTCTAGGTCACTCACAGGCTAGGTCACTCACAGGCTAGGTCACTCACAAGCTAGGTCACTCACAGGCTAGGTCATTCAAAGGCTAGGTCACTCACAGGCAAGGTCACTCACAGGCAAGGTCACTCACAGGCAAGGTCACTCACAGGCAAGGTCACTCACAGGCTAGGTCACTCACAGGCTAGGTCACTCACAGGCTAGGTCACTCACAGGATAGGTAACTCACAGCCTAGGTCACTCACAAGCTAGGTCACTCACAGCCTAGGTTACTCACAGGCTAGGTTATTCATAGGTTAGGTCACTCATAGGCTAGGTTGATCACAGCCTAGGTCACTTACAGGCTAGGTCACTCACAGGCTAGGTCACTCACAGGCTAGGTCACTCACAAGCTAGGTCACTCACATGCTATGTCATTCACAGGCAAGGTCATTCACAGGCTAGGTCATTTACAGGCAAGGTCATTCACAGGCTAGGTCGATCACAGGCTAGGTCACTCACAGGCTAGGTCACTCACAGGCTAGGTCACTCACATGCTAGGTCACTCACAGGCAAGGTCACTCACAGGCAAGGTCAGTCACAGGCTAGGTCACTCACAGGCTCGGTCACTCACAGGCTAGGTCACTCACAGGCTAGGTCATTCACAGGCTAGGTCACTCACAGGCTAGGTCATTCACATGCAAGGTCATTCACAGGCTAGGTCATTTACAGGCTAGGTCACTCACAGGCTAGGTCACTCACACGCAAGGTCACTCACAGGCAAGGTCAGTCACAGGCTAGGTCACTCACAGGCTCGGTCACTCACAGGCTAGGTCACTCACAGGCAAGGTCATTCACAGGCTAGGTCACTCACAGGCTAGGTCATTCAAAGGCAAGGTCATTCACAGGCTAGGTCATTTACAGGCTAGGTCACTCAAAGGCTAGGTCACTCACAGGCTAGGTCACTCACAGGCTAGGTCACTCACAAGCTAGGTCACTCACAGGCAAGGTCACTCACAGGCAAGGTCACTCACAGGCTAGGTCACTCACAGGCAAGGTCACTCACAGGCTAGGTCACTCACAGGCTAGGGCACTCACAGGCTAAGTCACTCACAGGCTAGGTCACTCACAGGCTAGGTCATTCACAAGCTAGGTCACTCACAGGCTAGGTCATTCACAGGCTAGGTCACTCACAGGCTAGGTCACTCACAGGCTAGGTCACTCACAGGCTAGGTCACTCAAAGGCTAGGTCATTCACAAGCTAGGTCACTCACAGGCTAGGTCATTCACAGGCAAGGTCATTCACAAGCTAGGTCATTTCAGGCTAGGTCACTCATAGGCTAGGTCACTCACAGGCTAGGTCACTCACAAGCTAGGTCACTCACAGGCTAGGTCATTCACAGGCTAGGTCATTTACAGGCTAGGTCACTCATAGGCAAGGTCACTCACAGGCAAGGTCACTTACAGGCAAGGTCACTCACAGGCTAGGTCACTCACAGGCTAGGTCACTCACAGGCTAGGTCATTCACAGGCTAGGTCACTCACAGGCTAGGTCACTCACAGGCTAGGTCACTCACAGGCTAGATCACTCACAGGCTAGGTCACTCACAGGCTAGGTCACTCACAAGCTAGGTCACTTACAAGCTAGGTCACTCAAAGGCTATGTCACTCACAGGCTAGGTCGATCATAGCCTAGGTCACTCACAGGCTAGGTCACTCATAGGCTAGGTCACTCACATGCTAGGTCATTAACAGGCAGGGTCACTCACAGGCTAGGTCACTCAAAGGCTAGGTCATTCACAAGCTAGGTCATTCACAGGCCAGGTCACTCACAGGCTATGTCATTCACAGGCAAGGTCATTCACAGGCAAGGTCATTTACAGCCTAGGTCACTCACAGGCTAGGTCACTCGCAGGCTAGGTCACTCACAGGCTAGGTCACTCACAAGCTAGGTCACTCACAGGCTAGGTCACTCACAGGCTAGGTCACTCACAGGCTAGGTCATTCACAGACTAGGTCACTCAGAGGCTAGGTCACTTACAGGCTAGGTCACTCACAGGCTAGGTCTCTCACAGGCTAGGTCACTTACAAGCTAGGTCACTCACAGGCAAGGTCACTCACAGGCAAGGTCACTCACGTGCTAGGTCACTCACAGGCTCGTTCATTCACAGGTTGGGTCACTCACAGGCTAGGTCATTCACAGGCTAGGTCACTTACAGGCTAGGTCATTCACAGGCAAGGTGATTCACAGGCTAGGTCATTTACAGGCTAGGTCACTCACAGGCTAGGTCACTGACAGGCTAGGTCACTCAGAGGCTAGGTCACTCACAAGCTAGGTCACTCACAGGCAAAGTCACTCACAGGCAAGATAACTCACAGGCTGAGTCACTCACAGGCTAGGTCACTCACAGGGTAGGTCACTCACAGGCTAGGTCACTCACAGGCTAGGTCATTCACAGGCTAGGTCACTCACAGGCGAGGTCATTCACAGGCTAGGTCACTCACAGGCTAGGTCACTCACAGGCTAGGTCACTCACAGGCTAGGTCACTCACAGGCTAGGTCATTCATAGGCAAGGTCATTCACAGGCTAGGTCATTTACAGTCTAGGTCACTCACAGGCTAGGTCACTCACAGGCTAGGTCACTCATAAGCTAGGTCACTCACAGGCTAGCTCATTCACAGGCTAGGTCACTCACAGGCAAGGTCACTCACAGGCAAGGTCACTCACAGGCAAGGTCACTCACAGGCTAGGTCACTCACAGGCTAGGTCACTCACACGCTAGGTCACTCACAGGCTAGGTCACTCACAGGCTAGGTCATTCACAAGCTAGGTCACTCACAGGCTAGGTCATTCACAAGCAAGGTCATTCACAGGCTAGG